ACCTTTGTTACCGGACAAAATAAACTCATAAACATAAATCTCACAAGGCTCAAAATCAGTATTTATTTCTGGCTGTATAAAACACAGCTTTTTGCCTTGCTAAGACCTGAGAGCAATTTTCTGCCAGCCTGCAGGTCCCTTATCTGGGATTCCTCAGGGCCACATCTGCAGCCGAGGAGAGGCTGGAAGCATTTCCAGGCACTGATGCCAAGGGGCAGGGAGCAGCCCGAGCCTGTTCTCCCACTGCCACCAGGGATGGGTGCCTGGCTCTCCTGGCTGTCACATCACACCTGTGATGTCTGAGGAGAGCAGCAGCAGGAATGGGATGATTTTTTAGTTTTTTTCCCCCGGGGAGAAAAGACAGACATGCTCCAGCAGTCACACTCGTATTTCTGAGCCTGGGGGCAGCCACAAACCTCCTTCCCTTTCTCCAAAGGGACAGGGCGAGCAAGGGCGGCTCAGGGCTGGTTCTTTGCACGTCCCCGAGGTCTGTGGCAGCACACAGAGAATCCTCCACACTTCCCTTGGGAAAGGAGGTGTTCCTTTTCTTGAAATATCTCCCATTCCTGGCATGGGATGCGATTGCAGCCCCGAGGATGGAGGAGAGCAGCGCGCCTGGGCAGCCTCTCCTGCAGGCAGCTCCTGCGGCACGCATGGGGACCGCAGGGATTTTTAAAGCGATTCCTCACACCTCCACGTATCCTAGCAACCCCTCTCCGAGGTTACAGATGCGATGGTACCTCGCCCACCTGTTGCACAGGCAGCCTGAGGCAAGTTCCACATGGCTTTCTACCCGGCTCATGCAGAGAATCCCATTGAGGAATGCGGGGATGCGCCTGTGTCACACACAGGCACCCCTGAACACCAGGAACACCAGGAATTCAGAGCTGGCTCTCGTGTCCTCCAAGGAAAGCTCTTGCTGGCACAATCTTTGTGATCAAGGCAAGAAAAAAGGGGGTGGCTTTAATCCCCACCGCAAAAAAATGCCCGGTGTGCCATCCCTCGGGTCCTGCGTGGACATCCGAGCACGGTTTCCAAAGAAATGTTAGGTCCAAAAAAGGAGCACTGAACAAAATCTGACTCCTCCCATCCCTCCAACCTGAGCTGCAATATAATTGCAGTAAATGAGATTGTTAAGGGGAAAAGAAAAAAAAAAAACCTGCTGGAAAAGCAGCCTTTTTAAGGAGTGATGCCACTCCAGAGTACCCTTTAACATTTGTAGTTTCCTGTGGGGGGAAAAAATACTGAAAACATTATAGAAATAACCATCAATCATTAAAATTTTGCTCTGCAGACAAATTTAAACCAAATTTAATCAAAAATTAAAAGATATAAAATCAATTACAAAAATCTGTTGGAGGGGAAATTTACAGTTTTACAAAATTTACTTTCTACACCTGTGAAAATGGTCCTTTATTATTCTCCTGCTCATCAAATTAGATTTCCTTTGTTTGGCTGTCACTGATCAAATTGTTTAAGCTGCAATATCCATTTCTCACTTGAACCTCAGTTATCTTAATTCATCATTCATTTGCATTCCTGAAAAACAAACAAAGAAAACCCCTAATATTTTGCTGTGGGTTTGTTTTCTTTTTTTTTGTGTTACTGCACTTATCACTGCTAAGTCCACTTCATTCTAATATATTCAAAGAATTCAAGGGATGAATTCTTTGACAGCATGGAAGCTGCTGTCCCCAAAGCCAACAGGGAAGATGAGGTTGTCACTGCTCAAAGACACATCATTTGCTGTAGGTCTCTCTTATTCATCTTCACAGGGGAAAATATGGGATACTTCCTAAAGAGTTCTGGCACTTGTGAGCTCTCCCTCTTTCCCCTCTCTTGGGCAGATAAATGCTGCAATGAGATCAGGTGCCCTCTCTCTTTGGAGTGCTCCAAACTGCTGCTGCCCTTTCCCTGGGTAAGCTGAGCTGACAGCCTGGGGATCTGCAGTGTTTCCTGGGAGAAGCTGGCACACCTTCTCCCTCAGCACCATTTACCCTGCTCCTCTCACAGGAACACAGCCAGGATGTCAAACCCTCCTTTTCCAGCCAGGATGTCAAACCCTCCTTTTCACTGTGAGGCTACTTGGCAGCTGGATCTGCACACTGAGTCCAGCTGAGATGGCAGCAGCCACTTCATTAGTTCAGTGTCAGTTCAGTTTTGACATGTTTGTGGAACCATTGACTAAGTTTTTTATAACAAGTGAGAACAGGATTTTTATAGCTAAGATTTTTTGCAAGCGTCACATGCATTTTAGGACATAGTCCCAGGCTGAGCTACACAAACAAAACTCCCTTGTGGTTTGACAGACATCATGAGTGAGAATTGGATCATGTTTTCTGTGTGAGATAAAACTAACTGCCTTCACAGCTGTCATTTTTTTTATAGTGCAAGGGAAGAAATTCAAGCATTTAAAGTTACATTTAAATATGAAAACTTGATAGACATAGCTGGCAATAAAAACACAGCTGTTAACAACACATAGAAAATACTGCAGTGGTACAGCACAGGAGGCTGAAACCCTGTGTCTGAGGAGAATCTGCAGGTGAGAGCAGCTTCCTCATTTATTTAACACAGGGAGTAGGGCTTGTGTTTGTATACTGTGTGGTACTGGGCAGAAATACCCTCAGGAGCCTATCATCCAGCACTGCACGAATAAAAACAGAATTTCCCAAACTCCAGTGAGGAAGGCATAAGCCCTGGAATGACAATTCCTCTCATGCAAGACAAGGGCCATGTTATATTTTACTCAAGTGGAAGAGATGCATGATTCAAAGCCAGGCTCTTCAAATCTGCCGTGGACTTGAAGAATGCAAGCTCATGGAGGCTGATTCTTCAGTGCAGCAGCTCACCCCTGCTTTCTGGGGTAAACCTAAAGAATGGGTTCTGATACAGCTGATCCATCACAGCCTTGCAACATCACTAGCTCCCACATCCACCAGTTATTTTTATGCAGCTACCAGTGCTAAGGATGTGTCAGGAAAATTAATGAAGTATGAACATGCTCCGGGAAGAGCATGCGCAACAAGAGGCAGGTTGTGAGTTAAAATAGCCCCGGTGCATCCTCACCAGTGCACAAAATGGTCACTGAACAGCTGCTGGAGGGACTCATGAGGGCCTGGTACGTTATCTAGAAAACATTAAGAGTATTTTCAAGCATACTGGCTCACATTCAGCACCCAAAAGCTATTTTAAGTGCTCCGTGGAGACAAGCTGGTGGTATTGGGGCACTTTTCTTCCAGAAGACAACAATTTATTTCAAGTCAAATAATCCCATCAGAGGCCTTTGTAAGCACCTAAATCAGAAGAAGTGGCTGTGATGATGTCACGTAAGAAGAGATTCACAGGCTGAGCTAAGGCCAGTTTTCTCAAGACACTTAAAAAGAAAGTGAAACCACTTGCTGGGCAGTTTTGGTGCTGTGTCTGTCATGTCACAGCAGCTCCCAGAGGGCATCTCTGGAGTCTGAGGAACTGCCAATTGGCAGAGGGACGCTGGTTCAAGAAGAAAATTTGAGCAGAAGCCTACAAGATAAGTTTTTTTTTACCCTACTGAGCAGCAAAGCCATGGCTAAATGAGCCCTAAGAATACAACTCTCACCTGGCAGAACCACCTCAGACCCAAGAGGAAAGACTTCCATCATTTTCCAGCCTTGGCCTCACCTCACCTCTCTGTCTCAGTTTCACCCAGCCTGGTATCTTTACAAGGCATTTTGAGACTCAAAGACCAGAAAATGTACACAAAGAAAGAGATAATGCTGTTATCACCCAGTGCTGTGGCTCTGTATGATGTGAAGGCACAGACGGTCACAATGAACTCCCTGTATCAGAAAGGTGGGAAGAAATATGGGAACAGAAGAGGAAGAAATTGGATTATGACAGTGACAGAGTGAAAAGTAGAAGATGGCAGGGATTATAGAGACATTTGGGAAGCACTCTGATATTGGCATGATGGTCTCAGTAATGAAAATTGTCAAAAATATTACCAGAGGAAAGAGCCCAATCAGAGTCATCCAAAATTGGTTTATTTTGTAAAATATTTCAGGCTTTCTTTTCCCTCCTGTTTTTGAAAGCCTGGTGAGGCTGAACAGGGAGCTGTAAGCTACTCTGAGCACTGACAGATAAAAAAAACCCGATAGGGAAGGGTGCCTAAATATAATTCAGAAGGCTCCCACCTCTCCTTACTGAGGTTCAATCTCCACAGCCAGCTCAAGTCATTGATTTTCAGTCAGCTTTCAGCCACTAGAAGATGCAAGGCCACATCAAAATTACCACAGTTTAGGGCAGAAAATAACATAGTTGATGAGGAACCAGATATAAATAAAATACTTCCAGTGATCTCCCTAAGAAGAGCCACAGCATGCCCTTTACTAAGTTACAGTCCATTGATACTTAGTAAGTTTTAATCTCCCAAACCACTGACTGGGGATCCTCAGACAGAGGAAATCAATTGTTGATCTATCCCACAGCATGATCCAGCCCTGAACTGACAGCTAAACATGAAGCTGTGGACTTTGATTACATTTTTGTCTCAAAAAAAAAAAAATAAGCACTTTTCTCACTAGATGTCATGCACTATTTTTGCTTAGAAAAGGGAATTCTAAAATTAAATAAACAAAATATACAGAAGCACAAGGGATGCTAAAGCTAACTTGGCAGAAAATACCCAGCACCCGAAGCAACACATGTGCAATAACCAAGGATCACAAGGAACCAACATGCTCATGATATCAACACACAGAAAAAAGTTCACATACTCTTTCAACAACTGTTTTTGTTTCAAATATGCTCTTGCCATGACTCTCAGGGACAGCCTTTGATCATTATGCAGAGAAGTACTTCTGTGAACCAAAAAAAAGGATGATGCACCGACAAACCCCTGCCAGGCTGTGTGGTACCTCAGTCTCCTGCAGAATGCAAGTGACTGAGGGTGCTGGGGAAATACTCAACAAGCTCATTTTCTTCCTTGCAACTAATCCACCACGTTTCCAAGTTTCACTTACCTGTCAGGTTCCTCAAGCCAAGTTCCCTGAGTCCAAAGTTCCCATCCTTCCTGTAGTTAAGGAATATGGCCAGAGCGTATCGCTCCTCGTAGAGCTTGGTGCCACGAACGATGCGCAGGTTCTCCAGGGGCAGGTACTCAAACTGGTTCAGAGCCACCAACACATAGCCCGTGACTTCTCGGATAGACTGAAAGGCAGAAATGAAACAAACACATCAGACACATTCTGTTTTTAATTGCCCTGAATTTCCAAGGCAGTGGATGCTTTAGGACAACATGATGATACCCAATACAAAAAAAAAAAAAAAAACAACAAACCAAACCACCCAGAAAACAAATTTTGTTTCAACTTAGTGATTTCAAGCACATTCCTGTTTTAATTTTAGAGAGTTAACTGGAAAGAGTTGTTTAAAAGGTAGAAAAGAAAGAGGTAGCCATTTTTATCAGTTTATTGAAACTTGAGCAGAAACGACCTGTAAGGTATTAAGGATTCACAAAAGGATGACTCAAAGCAGAGAGCAGGTCAGAGGGCTCTGCAGTACATGAACAGAATCCACTGGGGCAATGCCACAGCTCAGATGAGATTGTCTGTCTGCAAGTAACTCTGTGTTGTACAGAGTATTTCAGGGTGGGACTGAAGGGACATAACATAGAAAACCCCTCTGGAAGAGCTCACCATCAAACAGGAACAGATGGGAGATGGGGGGGGGGCACTTTGGAAGAGGAAATAAAAATAACACACATATGTATTAACACCCATTTTGTATGCTTTCAAATGGAACTGATCACTGAACATTTGCAAAGATTCGTCTCCAAGCTTCATCTGGCAGTGCTGGAACCATCCACGCCCATATATCCTGGTCTTCAATCAAAACTGCTATCCAAAACTTCAGCAAAAGGATTGCTGCACCTTTGAGTTGGCCAAAATCTTCACTGGCTTTAGATGAACTGCTCAATAACCCTCCTGATTATATTCAGGTATTAACACCCCAAAACCCAATAACTAGAAAAACTTTTTCAAAGTCCTAAAGATTAACAGAACTAAGATGTTGTTAGGGAGAAAAAAAAAAATACAGAACACACAAAACCAGAGAAATATGCTCCCTTGGAAAATAAAGTTCATTCTAAGGAATTGAAAGAAATGGCCTAGAAATATGCAAATACCTTTGAAAAATGTCATTTCAATGACCCCACCATTCTCAGCAGGGCTTGGCACAGGCTGGAGGATGCTCCTGGCCAGATCCTGGAAACAGAATCTCCACGTTGCAGAGGGTCTCTGGAGTCTGTTTCTCAAAGCTCACCTAACCCCGCGCCTGCAACCACTGTACAGCCGTGTGTTTGTGTGCGTGTGCATATTTTAATGGACAGAAACTGATACCACGACTTGTGTGCTTAAGTAGCTGCACACACTTTTCCCTTCCCTTTGGCAAAGTCAATACCTTAAACAAAACACTGAAAGAAAAATTCTGCTCAGGGTAACGTGCCCAGACTACAACCAACGTGACGGGGACTCCCGTCGATACTGTAATAAAAACAACCCGACAAGCAACAGCAGGCAGACAATTCAATGTGTCCTGTATGTATCATTAATAAAGAAAGGCAGCAATGGATTTGCAGCACCAAGGACAGGATCTTGCTTTGCTGGTTCAGTGCTCTGCCATGATTTCATATTTAAGTGTGCACAAGCCTTTTAATTGGGCTTATAAAAGCCTGCAAGGTTATTAATACGTGTGGCGGTGTGCATAAGGAATGATTTCTAGGCCACAAAATCTAGGTACTAGCTGTCCTTCTGAAGTCAAGCATCTGTACTCAGCTGAAGCTGCTGAAAAAGCTGTGGAGCCATTTCCAGACTTGCTTGGCCTCTAAACAAAGCCCAGTGTCCTGACAGGACTCTGATGAGAACCCAGTGAGTGGAGGTGGGTTGAGAAGTACAGTTCAGCAGGTAAGTATTCAATGTAGAGCTGCATTATACCCTGGGACACTGATTCCACCATAATCAGAAGCTTTACAGCATTTTCATGATAGCTCTTTGCCTTCAGACATTTGAGCTTAGCCAGTTTGGTCAGGATTTGCTTTTCATCATATGCAAAAATTTCTTTAAGCTGGGTTTTTTAGCGTCTCCTCAGAATTCAGGAAATACTTAAATTTCACTCACGGCTTCAGTTTCTCCACTGATATTCTAGGGATACTGTGATTGCTCTAATTAATTTAAATGGATGTTTAACTTGGAATTGAGTGGAAAAAATTAAAAGCGGTTCCAAAATTGCATCTGAATGGGTCCTCCCTGCCAATTGTTGTCACTTATAACCACATTTTCTATTTTTAGGGTATGTCTTACTGCCAAACAGCAATTCCACCTGAAAGAGCTGCAATTCGGCACAGGACTGAAATTCCACTCATACACACAGAGCAGAAAAATCTTCATTCCAAACTTGACCAAAAAAAAGCCAAAAAAAAATAAGAAAGCCAAAAAACCAAAAAAAATAGCCCACCAGGGAAAATGACAAAGTTCTGTTGCTGATCACTGTGAGGTGCCTCAGAAACTCTGCACTTTGTTTGGCTTAACCAACTGAAATGACAAATTATGGCAAGTCTTTTCACAAACCAGAAGGTTCTTTCCAGTCCCATGGCTTCCACCATATAACACACATTTATTTGCTGGAGACACTGTTCATGCTTGCAAAACAAAATTATGAAAATAAACCCAGAAAGGGTTTCTGATTTCCTAGGAAACAGCCATCTGACCAACCAAATCTAGGAGTCTGTTAAGAAAGGGTTTTAAATTCAGATAAGAATGAAAAATGCAGCACAATAACCTGCTTTGCAGGATGGTTTCCAACTGGTTTCTTGTTTTCAGGGTGTTTTCTTACCGGTCCATCTTGCAAAAAATACACTGGGAATGCAGAATGCACCTCAAATTTCAGCCACTCCTGGCCAACAGTGTCACTTTGCCAGGCACTACAAGTTTTAACATGAGTCTCACTGAAAATGGACACCTGCCCACCTGGAGCTGGCTCCCAACCCTGCTGGAGTCACTGCACTGCTGGCTTCCATACTGACTCCCAAATCCTCATGCCAGATGGGACCAGCAGCCAGATCTCCTCCCCTGCACCTCGTGCCAAGGTCAGGTGTGATTTGAACCTCTCATCCTTTGAATTCCAGGCTGGACACTTCCCTGGGCAGGTGTCCTGGACTCAGGTACGTGAATGCTCTGTTTGAGCTGCTTTGCTCCAGCTTCCATCTGTTTTCCCAAGAAGGTGGAATAGCTCACAGCAGTGAATGCCATCCTCTCCCAGTCCGATTCTCCTGCTAGGCTTTGCAGGCACTTGCAAAAAGACATTTCCCATGAGTCTGTCCCTCAGCAAAGATAAAAAGGAAACTGAGCCTGTCAAGCATCAGCCCCTGGACAAGGACAAGCTTCCAGCAGAAACAGGAGTGTTGGGGGAAAAAAGTATTAATCCTTGACATATCTAATGAGCTGCCTAAAAAACACACACCAAACCACAGGGTTCTGATATATTTACCAGGAAAAAAGCCTTATATCTCAATTTTCAGACAGGACATGAGCACTTGTACTCCACAGTTTGCTGTCCCTGTGTCCAGCAGTGTCCTGCACCCCAGGAACAGCCACATCAGTCAATAAAACAGTCTCCTAAAAGGCTCTATGAGCCCCAACATAGCCAATATTTTGGTTTTTAAACCTAAAAATAGCTACCCTGAGGTAAGAACAGAGCCAGTGAAGGTGCTGCCCTCCCCTGCCCTGCCCTAAGATGGGCAGCCCTGCAGAGGGTGAGGAAGAAACTCAAAATGACACCAAAAGCAAAAGGGTTATTTTTGGAGGTTCTTTTTCAGGTGATGAACTGTAAAAATGAGCTCTAGACAGCCCATTCCCTTAATTACAACTAATATTAGCTGAGCACAGATGAAGCACTTGAAGCTCCCAACAGCAAAACCAGAATTATCCTGTCAGCTGGGAGTAAATGGCAGTAAAATTGTGCCCTGCCATCTTAAATCGTCCTTTGGTTCGAATCAAGTGAATCTGAGTGAAGCAGAGCAAAATAACAGCGAAAACTTCATCATTCCGCCCAGAACAACAGATCAATGAACGATTAGGGAAGCTGATGTTTCTCATAAACACTACCAAGGCTTCTTAACATCCATCAGGAAGGCTGGGCTGTGGCAGAGGCACCGAAGAGAAGTCTATTGTGGGGTTTATTTCAGCTGCAGACACATTTATCCAGGTGCTGAACCTGATCTGGTAATGCCCCTGCTGCCTCAGCTGATCAGACACTTGTCCCCAGCACAGAGTCAGAGCAACAAAATCCTGCCACAGGGGTCAGCTCACACCTGTGGGAACACTGACAATTAATTCTCTTTTCAGGGTGTTTTTCCCCTTTTCCATAAAAGCTGTTTTGATCTACTTCAATCTCACTTGAAAGCACCAGTAAACACAAGTGCAGGAGGGGAGGATCACCTAAAAAAGTGTGTTTAATTCACAAACATTCAGAAAAAGGAAACACCTCATATGTCAAGTGGACTTGAAGAGAGTATCTCACATTTTATTTTTTCTATCAATTAAAATGTATGCATTTGTATCTGGTGAGAACTGCCCAATATCCAACTGGCCAAATTTTGAGGAAACAAATATTTATCATGAGGAAAAAACCCCATAATACAGCAAAGTCAACACCTGCCTAACTTATTTTAAGTTCAAAAATCCCATCAGGCACGTTTGTGAGCATGCTGGTAACCATCAATTAATTATTTTTTTTTTCTTCCCATGCATTTTTATCCATGCAATGCAACACACCTGTCACAATTAAAAAATTAATGTTTACTGAATAACCATAAAGTAGTCTCTAAGCAACTACATCGCTTGCAATTCTAACTCTGGGAGAAACAATAACAACCAAAATGTGGAAATAGCAATTTCTGGAGCTCAATTAGCTGTTCCATGCATTGCTCATTGAGGGTTATGAATTTCTAATGACACGAGAAGCTGAGATTTTCAAAGCAGTTCAGGTATTTTTGGGATCCAGCCTTTAGCAGCTTCTCTCAAAGCTCCATCTGCACCATGAGAAACATGTGGCACGCAGTGACATTTCTCCTGAGAGGAAACCCCATTTAGAGACCATGGCAGAGCTAACATGGCATGCACGTGAGGAATTTTTCCCCAAAACAAGCTCAT